AGAAAGGTGTATAAATAGATAAGTACAGTACACATAAGGGTAAATGTATTTGATGATGTGTAGATTTTTTCTTCTTTGTTTTGAAAAAAGATCAATTCATTTACTGTTACATAACAAGGGGTAGGACTAGATAAGTTATTTACTTCTTCCTACTCCTTTGAACATAAAACTGTGTGATGATGTCTTTTTTTTTCTTTCTTTTTATAGTTTTTACTTGCCTTCACTTTAGTCAATCTGTTTTTGTATTGTAGGTTCTATATGTTCAATAAACAATAATACAATAAAGTACTTATTTTATATTTTTCTTAATTTCTTGTAACCCAAACAAATGACGTTTATGCATTTGTGGAGGCGCTTTTATTTTGAAGGTGGCTAACGCCACTCGCTGGCGGCAGATTACCGTAATGCAGAGCATTGGCAATCGCAGTGGCGACTCACTTGACTTCAATTTTGCGAGTGGAGGTTGGCTTGACCGCAGTATATAAACGGTGTCATTTTGATCTAGATGCAAGGAAGGTTGCGGCGTTTGGGTTCAGAGTAACTTGCAAATCAAGTGTCAAACATCAAGCCAATCAGAAGGCCGATACAGTTTGAGTGGCAGGTCAACAAGGTAATAGGCGCGACGAAACAACTGCATAGTGAAACATACACTCATTTGATTGGTTGAAGGTGTAGTGCCAGAAACCGGAAGCGGAAGCTATTGGTGCATTCGAGGATAATGGGAGATCGGATTTTTCCCATTTCTGACGAGGAAAAGTGCACTGGAACGCCCCATTTGTACTGAGAGGTCCGAGTTGAGGGATCGGAAACAAAGGACCCTGAGTTTACCGACCGACTTCAACTTGACGTCACTCGACAATGGAACACCTTGGAGACACAAACCGTCATTAAAAAAAAAAACCGTCATTGGAAAAGTATAATTTACATATAATCTAAACCGACACCGTGCTCAAGTGATGAGCACATGATTCTGATATTGTGTCAGCAAATGCATACACTGCAATATTTCACTTGCTGATGTAAAAAAACATCAGCAAAATACATTTATTGACAAGAAAACTGAATTCTTCCATCGTTTTAATTTTACACACAAAAGTATCAAAATACTTTACAGGGATATTTATCTGAATATTGTCAAATTCCTTTTTGATCACTTTCTTCAGGCAATTACACTGTACAATGACAATAAGCTTGCCATTCGGTGCTCATTACATTTTTTTTTCTTTGCAAGGGAACGACGCATTTAAAATCATGCATAGTTATAACTTTGCATTTCATGATATATTTGAGAAACCGCTGCATCTTATGCATTTCTGATTCCAACAAGTCACTTGCTCTCCATTAAACCTCATTGTGAGAAGGGTGCTCAAATGTTGTTACACTGAAGATACATAGTACGACATTCATAACATGAATTATCTTGGTTAGCCCACCTTCAAAGCTTTAAAAAACATTTGTCTGACACCAAAAAATGTACAACTCATCATCAAACAAAAATCATTGGAACAAATTGGGCTTACAGTGCCCCAGTGCAACATGGGAAAGAAAAGAAAAACGTTTGCAC